TATATATATTAAAAAAAAATCTGGAAAAAAACATTCCAGTCATTTTTAGACATTTTCTGATAAATTTCTGCAAACGGTCTGTGAATTTGTGAACATTTTCAAAGCAGTGTTTACAAGTTACTGGAAAAGTAGATGAGGAAGTTAAGATGGGCAATTTTGGGGGATCTTTGTGAACTCTTCATTCGAATTAAGTATGACCAGAGGGTCTTTGAATACAAAGTAAAGCATCATAAATCTAGCATCATTTATAGCCATAGGCTTGAAAAAATAAAAAAGTCACCCGCGTGTGAGCATCGCAATACCTTAATGGCTAATTTTTTTAAATGATTATTCACTGGAGCATCAGCATAGTTGAAGCTCGCACATAACTCATATTTTTCATTTGCAACACAAATCAAAAAATGCACCAAGTCATAACTTGGAACTCTAAAACTTAAATGTTGGGGCACTCTTTAATGAAAAAGTGCCACTTTAACTAAAATGTTTTTGGTTTTTTTTTTTCCCCCGGTTCCTTATGAGGAAGCCCCCTTCAATTTAGAATTTTTTTTTTTTTTTAAATTATCATGAAAAGTTTCCAACTTTGAAAACTCCTGGAGTGTTGCAGCATTCATTACAATGAATTGTGCCGCAGACCGCTTTCTTGTGAAACAAGTCGAAGCGCTTTGTTGTTGGCCTCGTCGTTCGTATTCGCATTCGTCGTCCGCATAAAGCAGAAACGTCCCTTCTACTTTTGTTTTTTGGTCGTCGACCACAATATGAAAGCGCGCTTTTGAAGCTACTGGAAAACCAAAATGCTAACAGTTGACAATCTCATGACCTCTTTTGTATCGGTGACTTTTAACACACGAGCAACATGTCAAACTAAATAGGGTGAAAGGGGCTTGACAAATTGTTTTCCCTTTTTCTACGCCCCCCCTCCCCTCCCCCCCCGCCGCGTCAAAGCCATCACGATGAGGACGTGTTCCACGGATGACTTTTTTTTTACCTTCTTCTACTACTACCTTTTGATGTTTTTAACCACCAGCTGATCTCCATTTTGATTGGCCAACAACTCCCCTCTTCCTCGCGCTGTGCACCGAAAAAAAAAAATGCGTTCGCAATCTTTCTCCGTTTTTTTTTTTGTTTTGTTTTGTTTTGGTTTTTTTCCGCCCTCATTTCAATTGCCGCTTGGTGTTTTTTTTTCCCAGCATGATTACCCCCCCTCCCCCATTTCTTTGATTTATTTTTGGGGAAATGTTAATTTTTTTTTTCGCTTGTGTTGAACGTAGCATGTACCCCCAAGCCGTGACCTTTGACCCCATGTGGTAGAGCCCCACCCCAATCCTCCCCCTTAGTGTCTGCATCGCCGGCGCCGCCGCCCGTCTGGCCAACAAGATGGTGGCATGAATGTAAAAGGAGGAAAGCGTTTATTTTTATTTTTTTCAGGGGGTTGGCGGACTTGTTTGTGGCAGACCAAACCAATCGCTTACAGAGATGATATATTGGTTACAAGAGATGTTTATATATAAAACCTATAAATCTATACGTTGTTGTTTTGTACAGTATTTTTCCTATTACATTTACTGAATATGTATTTTAAAGGCACAACAGATCCAGAATATTAATAAAGATTACAATAGAAACCTCGCGCTGTATGTTTTTCCTATGACGCCCTCTGGTGACAGTCGTGCGATATTGCAACATAACAGGTCTAAGTAGTCATGAAAAACGTGGGGTTGCACTATTACGAGAAATCAGATGACAAAACTTTATTTCAAATTGACAGTGCAGGAATTAATTTGGTTTTCAATTACTTGTGGATTAATTGTTGCGGCTCTATAGAATCCTCAAATGTTTCTATTTGCAGTAATTAGGGCTGCATCTAATTATTTTAGCAAGCAATTTTTTAGTTTTTTTAATTCATCGGATTTGGACTGTTTTAAGTTAGACAAGGTCTCTAGGCGGTTAATCAGTGATCAAAATTGTCCATTCATTTGATCATTAATTAGTTGTTGATCAGTTCATAAAAATGCTTTTTTTTTTTAAATGATTCTGGGATTAATGGGATCAGTGACCCCAAAGTTCTGTCAAATACCCCCGCAAAAAATTGCTTGAAAATCTGGCAGAGGTTTTCTACGTGTTGTACAAAATTATTTTAATGCAGTGTGGATGACATGTATTATTGTGTCACACTATACAAGTTTGAAACATTGAAGACTTACAATTTTTTCGTTGTTGGTGGCGTTGCATCATGCCAGTCAGGGTGAAAAAAAACTAGCCATTGTGATATCATCAAAAGGCGAGTAAGCCATCTTTTTTTTTTTTTTTGGTCTGTTTTTGTGCCTTGCGCTACGGGTGTTCCTCGCCCATGTAACATCATCCACGTCATCAGCACGGAGACGGACCAGACATCGCACAGTGTTTCCACAGCAACAGACTCATTTTCTGCCCGGCAACTAAGACAGCAAAGCTTTTACAGACACATATAAATATTTGGTCGCTTTCATTTCAAATTCTGTAGGCTCGATGCGAAAAGGGAGAACCTTACTGGGTTTACTGCAGAAGGAGCGAAAAATGGCCAGTTTTTCCTTGTAATCCGCCGGATGAACCGGATGGATAAATGGCATCTAACGAAATCACCAAGCACAATGGATTAGTTGAGCTTGGATTCGGCTGCTCAATTCCCATGATCATGCGCGAAACTGATAGCTTGGAGTTTAAACTGTGCTTTGTAAGCGCGTCTCATCGGAGGTGCCATTTTCAGGATGCTGTTTTGCACAATGCACATAATATATACTAGACACCGACCAGGGGCGTGCCTTTAGCGTCCCTTTTCACGTTCACCCTTCCCACTTGAACGTCCGCATGCTGTCCTCAGTTACGTCTGCCTTTCCTCTTTATCACAAGCGTGTCAGCGCATCATCAGTCAGTCAAGCGGACCCCTCATCAAAGTCATACAACAGCATTCCGCATTATTAGGGGGCCCAGCCATTTTAGAGAAAATTTTAAGACTTTGAAGTGTGCCCTATTGTCGTGAAAATCCGGTAGAAGAAATGGAGATAGTTGTCGTCATGGTAACCAACGTGTGGCGCATCGCTAGTTTAGCATGCAGCTCAAAAGCCGCAAAAAGGGCCACTACAGCAAATGAACCATACAAAATTTATCGCTGTAAAGTTTTTTTTTTTTCTGGGGTGGCAGCAAAACTTGTTAATCAAAAAAAGTTGCGCGTTAATCAATGACAAAAAGATGTCTCCTTGTTGATATGCTTTTTATTGACAGCAAGAGAAAGAGAAGATTGTAGCACCACAAAGAGAAGACGGCAGCGGGAAGGCCAGGAACGTACAAAAAAAAAAACAAAACACACAAACAGGAAGTGGCGTTGGCCCAAACAGGAAGTGGAACCACATGACCCAAAAAAAAAAAAACGATCACTTGTCAAATAACACTTTCAGAAAACCATTAGAGCATTTCTTCCATATCCTACTAGTGCATTTAATTTCCCCCAGTACTGGTACACATTTTGCACTCAATCAGAAGACAACTTAGCACACTAGTAGTATTTTTCACAACTGAATTTCTGTGCGGCCAATGGAGTGCACTCGGAGAATATGGACCAAATGCTCAAATGGGGAGAAATTGAAAATCTCTTGAAATGCAGAAAAAACGCCAACAGGGGGCGCCGCACTTTCACAACATAAAAATCCCTCAGCCATATTTGTTTTGTTTGTTTTTCTACCTGCAGGCAACAAGTTAGCACAACATGCTAACAAATCAAAATGGTTATCTCACTCTGTGACTGGTCGCCGGCCCCTGAAATGGCCATTTGGAAAACATCAATACGGCTCAGAATTTTTTTTTTTTTTTAACCGCCCAAGGTTAGAGTGTCCATCACTGCACATTTTTCTCAGCATGCGATTGCTCGCCAGCCCTGTGGAGTGGCCATTTTGAAATATCCAGACAAACAAAGAGCTGGGAAATCTCTTCTTTCTTTCCTTTGCTCGGTCAGCGCAACCTGCTCACAGCGCAATGGGAGTGGTCATCCATCAATGTGTTTTTTTTTTTCCTTCGCCATGCGATTGGTCACCGGGCATCTGGAATGACTGTGAGTATTTGTAAAAGTCGACGTCGAAGCGCCATTTGGTGTTTGTAGGAATGTGGTAAACGATTGTTTTGTGTTTGTTGGGAAGCAGTAGCGCGGCAGGGTGCTCAGGAGCCGCACGCGTTGCGGTCGGGCGGCGATCGGTAGAGGTACCTCCAGATGGCGTAATAGTGAACGCCCGCCGCCAGCGCCACCAGCACGTGCCAGATGGCGTGCGCAAAGGGAATGACGCCGTCGCTCTTAAAGAAGACCACGCCCACGCAGTAGAGAAGGCCGCCGCACGCCAGCTCCTCCAGCCCCTCCGTCGAGTTCTGACACAACAACAAAGGGGAGCATCATCGTCATCGGTGAGATTGCTGCAAATCTTCTCATACTTTGAGGGCTGCCAGTCCTTCATCAATACGTTTGTGATGAAAAGCCAAGTTTGGCATTTACCCTTGTGTATTAGTACATCCGACCGCATGGCAAGATATGATCATTTTAGAAGATAATCGCTTATATAAGGAGACACAGGACTATTAGCTGTGACGTAACCGGTGCAAAACGTGATTATGATGACAGCTGCCACAAGGGGGCAGGAACAGCTTGGCGAATACAACTTTCAAAACCAAACCCTGCCTTCCAACCCGTAGCCCGTCTGAAAGAAACCCCAAAAATGATACCCCAGGCTTGAAACTACACTTTGCAACCCTAACTTGAAGCCCTATCACTTGCTTGAAACCCGATCCTATGTTGGAATACCGCCCCCCCCCCCAAAAAAAACCCTACCCTTTGTTTAAAACCCCAGTATGGGCTTAAAGCCCAAAAGCTTGCGTTGAACCCAAATTTTGAGATGCTAACCAAAACACTTGCTTCAAAGCCTGTCCCAGGTTGGAAGCCCTAATTTGAAACCCTACCTAAAGCAGTCTTGAGGATGGGATTTGAAAACCTAACCCATGCTGGAAGCTCTAACACAGACTCAAAACCATCATTTGAATCTCTAAACTTGTCTTAAAATCCGAATTTCAAACATTTAGCCTTGCTTGGAAACCAAATTTGAAAGTCTAGCACAGGCTGCGAACCCTAATATGAAAGCCAAAACCAGACTACAAACGCCAATGTGAAATCCTCACCTTGCCTTAAAACCCTAATTTCAAATCCTCGACCTTGCTTTGATTCGAATGCCCGATTAGGCCTACAAACTTAACGTGCAACGGAGGCCCAGGCCAAGTTTGAAGCCGTACTGACCATGGAGGCGACGACGGAGGCAGGGAGGAAGCCCATGGTCAGGTATGAAGCCAGCTCCAGCAACTTGTACCTGCCGGCAAAGCACAGCAAAGGGGACAGAGTCAGGTGGGAGCGGTGGTCCAGCGCCTTTTGGCGACGGGGTCTTCGGCCGCCTCACTTTTCGTGATAGTTGAAGACGTAGAAGATCCCGCCGGCCGCCATTAGCCACACCAGCCAGCGCATGTGGCACGCCACCGGGCCCAACTCGCGTAGGTTCAACCTGACAGAGGGCGAGGCAAAGTGAGGGGGAGGGGCTACAACTGTGTGTGTGTGTGTGTGTGTGTGTGTGTGTGTGTGTGTGTGTGTGTGTGTGCGCGTGTGTGCGCGTGTGCGCGCGGGCACCGACCAGGGCGCGTAGGAGGCAGCGATGAAGACATAGATGACGACCCGGTCGCACATGTGGAAGCAGTGCTCCACCTCCCTGAAAAACACACAAAGCCCATCTTGAAACCCCAACCATGCTGACAAACCCCCACTTCAGCAGGTCAGAGACCAAAGATTTTTCTGGAGATCTCCAGAACCCCTTTATAATCCAGAACGGTCATGAAAAAGTGATGAGCTCATTGGTAGACAGCAGTTGAACCCTTTCATGCACCCTGACGCGGGTCTGTCCCAGCCCTGCCTCACCTCATGTGACTCCTCTTCCAGGTGACCACGTGGAATACGGTGGAGATGAGGAATAGGGCGCTGAGGCCCAGGCCGTAGACCCACGCTGTCAGGCGGTGCCAGTCGTCGGCCGACAGCCGGTGCAGCAGCGCCGTGCCCGCCAGCGCTGGCGCGATCAGGAACTGCGCACGCAAGATAAATCTACTCAAAACTTAGCATCAGCTGAAAAAAAAAATATTTAAGCCGGCTTGTGTGGTTTAAAACCAGGTTGAGGGTTTTCAAGTAGGGTTTCGAAGTAGAATCAGTGTTTGGTTAAAAATATGGTTTTAAAGTCAGGCTAGGGTGTAATGTTGTATTATTTCTTTTTAACAAATTGTATTTTTTCATTATTATAAATATCCTTTATTTTAAATTAATGTTCATCAAGGGTTAGGGACCTATTATTCCTAAAAATTGTTTTTTAAATTAAAAAAAAAAAAAAAAAAAGGATCTTGATGAATTACTCCATTATAAACAAAGTGTCGCATACAGAAAAAAAAGATGATGGAGATCGACATTTTTGACCTTTTGCTAAATTTCACAACAACAGAAAAAATGAAAAATGCAAATAAAAAATTTACAAATAATTTTTTTTTTTTTTTTTTTTTAACTAAAACATGGTTTGGTTTTTTTGTAGCTTTTTTTTGGGTGGGCGTTATGATGCCGGCTGGCCAAGAAATAAACGAGGCATTGGTGTCGAATGTCGGCAGAGAGACGGCGACTCACTGCGTGTGTGTAGCAGTTAGCGGCATGCTCATAGCAGGTGGGCTGGTAGCGACAGTTAGCGGAAGGCCGTCTGTTCATGAATCTAAATACATTCACACACACACACACACACACACACACACACACACACACACACACACACACGACGGAAAAATGCTTTCATTCTTTACATTTTAAGTTGTGTCATCACTGGGTCTTTTTACGAAGCACAATACTGTACATTGCTGGTTCTAATCTACAAAAAAAAAAAAAAAAAATTGTGAGGAGGCGGGAATAGATTAATTGCATTTCCAGTCATTTCAATGGGGAAAGATGATTTGAGATACAATTGATTCCAGTCATGAGTGTGGTCACAGAACAAATTAAACTCGTAAGTCAAAGTACGGTAGCACTTAATATAATCTATGACCATCAATAAATAGTACATATAAATAACCTGTTTATAAGACATTGTATATATTCTGCACAGCATACATGTAAGTCGGGAAAGTCAGGTGTACCGAACAGTGTTTTTATACTTGATTTAACCTCACCCAAAATAAAGGAGAGAGGCGGCCATGAACCTTGACACACATCATCTCAATGACGTGTCTGTACAATGCACGACCTTATTTGTGTGTGCGCGCGCGCGCGTGTGTGGACTTTCACCAGGCAACGTGAAATGTCTTTTGGACCCAATAAACCAGGCAAAAAAACATTTTAACTTCAAATAAAACTGTCTTTCATTGTCATTTCGGGCTTGACTTCTTGAAACGTATTTGTGGGTCTACTCATGACAGACATGTCTCCCAAATTTCTTGTTGCTTTATCAAACTGGGTTGGGGGCATAATTTTAGAAGAATTAGAAAGACCTCAAGCAAAGGCAAATGGCCGCTTCGAACCAAAATAGCAGACTTTTTGTGTGTCTCTCTAAGCAGGGCTTCTTGAGATTTGAGATTTTTCTGTGGGTCTATTCATGAGATGTCTATTGTCTACCATGTTTGAAGTGGTTAAGTCAAACTGGTTTGGGGGCCTGAATTCTTTAAAAGACCAACGTGATGTTCCAGTAGAACTGACATAAAATATTTAACATTGTGCCTTAAAATAACAAACTGTTGAAGCAAAACGACTTCAGTCATCTAACTTAATGCTAACATTTAGAAATTAGCATCGGATACTAAAACCCGCAATTAAGACGGCCCTACTAAAAAGATTTATTTTTACCTTTAGGTGCAGAGCACAACTATAATGTAAACGAAACTCCTCAATTCAGTTCAACGTTTTTCGCTACTCGAATTGTTTCCACAGTCACTTCCGGTTGCCTTCTCGTAACCCTTCAGTCGACGTATAATGACGTCACAAGCGATTGGCGTTGGCTTGATTTGAATGAAGGCAGACGAGACAAGCTGCTCGACGTTCAGTTATCTGCTCACTCACCTGTGGAAGCTGGTCACCTTCTTCATGTCAGTGTCCTATGGTCCTTAACAGCATAAAAAAAAGGTGATTAATTGATTTTTTTAATGAGGTATGAAACAATGGTCATGCTGTCCCGTTCACAACACTGAATTAGCATTAGCTCGCCTGTTACACGCGACCTAGCCTATAACTCTCGCAATAGCTCAAAGGCAGCATTTTAGTCTTTTCCTGCATAACATTCTGGGTCAAGTGTTCACCGGTGCCTAAGCCTTTGAGGTAGAAAGATCCATGAGAGGCGACCAGTTAGATCGGGGGAAAAAAACTGAAGCCGGCAAGGAAGCGAAGGAGGCCGGCCAGGCTGCTCGAATGGACCACGCCCGCCCTCCTTTTGCTGCAATACGCCTGCGTAAGGAAACCGATTCCGTGATCGACAGCAGGCTGAGCCAATAAACGATTAAACCGAGATTTCGACCAATTGGGGTGAAGGAAGCGCGTCCTTCCTCAGGCGTTAAACAATGCAAATGCTGCATGATCGACAGACGGACGGACAGACAAGTTTTGCATTGAAATTAAGATTGCCAAAACATATTCAAAATTGAATTAAGAAAAAATGCTTTTCAATTATAATTTCAAACTGCTTCAAATCTGCAGGCACGTGCAGTGGGGTAATGGTGGTGGGGTGGGGGTTGTCGCCATCAGTGCCCTGGGAGAGGCCCTTTTGGCACTGAGGCTCACATTGATCCTTTGGCCCTTTTTTAAGTGTGTGCGTGTGAAAGCCATTTTCATACCTTTAAAAATCAACAACACAATTAAAAAATATATAATTAAATCATTATCTTGCTACCCTTGGTCACAAGACCTTGCTTGCAGTTGATGTCATATACTACTTGACGCACTGTTCTTTTCAAGCTAAGCTGCTGCTGAACTTGTTCTCAGCAAGGTCGTCGCTACTCTCTCCATTTGTACTGTTTAATTAAGTCGTCCCACGGTATCCAGAAAGCCAAAATATGGTCGTGATTATTGGATCGGGCTTATAGATATATCGCAAAGTCCAATTGTAGCATAGGCATCAGATTATAGTTTGTCAATATTTCATTCTGCATCAGTGTCTGTCTCAACATGGCGTTTCCAAACCGTCAGTGGTACAGCAGGTTATTCGCAGTCAGTCATTTCCGGTGCGTACTTGTTGTAATCAACTTGCCTAACCAACTATTCTCCCATTTTCTTTTGTAGCTTCTGCACTCGGGCCAAATCACCCCAGCTCCGGCAATATCATCAGCAGCAGCAGCAATCTCTCCACAAATCCCCATCAACAGAAGCTGTTTAGCATACCGCATCAGGTAAAACACACTTTTACTTTCCACTGCTCCCTACCAAATACATCAGGTGAGTACAATGACATGGGATGTTGTGATCCTCTGTCACATTCAAAGGTCACTGCACGCCCCTGAGCAGCTGTGTATGTACATGTAAGGAACAATATTTTCCTGTTGGGGCACTGTTACTCAGTGATTGCATTCGGACTGTAACGTATTGGCATATTAAAAATGTTTTTATTTAAATTTGTGTTATTTTGAATGGCAGTTTTTTCTTGAAAGTGATATTCTCCAGATGGCACCCTAATGGTTATTACGTAAGCATGGTTGCTGAGTGAAATATAAGTGTTTATGAAAGCACAATCCTCTGCTTTTGGCCACTGAAAATCTCTTGGTTGCCAACTCATCCTTCTCAACCGACAAATAAGTATAGCCTAAAATGATGCATTAAAAGCATTACTGGGCATTCAGGACACGTTTGAAGTCGCGGTATCACATCCCTAACTGTTACACATTGTAAAGTTAAGCAAATGAACTACAATAAAGTATCACTGGTGTTCCTCCGCTATATTCTGATTCACAAATTTTTAAGCATTCTTTTTGAAAGTATACATGCAAGACGTCACGGTGGTCGTCTGGTTGGCACGTCCGCCTTACAGCGCCAAAGTACTGGGTTCGAAACGGTTCAAATAATGGATGGAGATTCAAGCAAGTCAGAAGCTACAGTGGAGTTGCGCGCCTTCAGTGCAGTGCCACATGTCAGGCAGCACTGAGCACGAATGGAAGAGATGCAGCGTCATTAATAGGAAGAAGAACCATCTTCATTTGAAAAGTAATGCTATTGAGGATTGTTCATGCAGTTGTTTGAAGGTTTAGAATTAATGTCATTTTGATGCTAATTTCAGTTGACCACTCCATGGCATTTCACATTGCTTGTTAGCATTCAGCTAATGGACTTTTCGTAGTGCAGCATATGGTTTTTGAACATTTGGGTTTTTAGAGATGTATTTTTTTTTCTCTTTTATGGATGTCTCAGTTGTACAGTGAACTTCAACTGGGAGTGACAAATGTTATTTGAAGAGCTGTGCAAGGAACAGAGTCTTTTCATTTTCTCTGAGTGATGATAATGACGATAATTATATTATCGGACTGTCTCCCCTTTTTGGTGTTTGTGGTGTTTTTATTGATCGAGTGGAAAATCGATTGACGACAGCAACAAGACAAGAGTGTCGGCTCTTGTTTTTGGAGCGCTCCCAACTTGAAGAAGCACTCTCGGAATTACGTAAGGGCTCCGACCAGACTTAACCAAATGTTGGAACCTAATCTGTGAACAGCAGCCAATCAGGAAGTCAACCTGGATTTGGAAAAAACACAGCTAAAGACAACAATGACACGCTCAGAGAATGGACAATAGCACTTATGTAAAAAGCGGAGTGATTTATGACACCTTCCACACCCACTTCTCAAAATAGGAGCAAAACAATCAAAGACAAAAGCGGTGGAACAATTAATAACCATCATACATAATATAACATTCTACCCAGATGCCTTAAAACCACAGAATAGAATTAAAATGCAAGGTTTATGACCTGTGAGTCAAAACCACCACTCAATTTCCCTCAGTGGATGAATTAAGTATCCATCCATCCATTCATCCATCCACCTACCTCCCACACATGAAATTTCCAAATAAAGTACTCAAACCTTCATAAAACTCCAGAACAGAGTATAACACTGATGTAAAACAAACAAGGGAAACAATCCATTGATGACCATTGAGAGACTGATGACCCCCCCCCAACCTATCTGAATTGGAATTAAGTAATCAAACGAGCTAAGATGACACCGATAAACCATAAAACAGGGCATCAGTGGACAGTCAAAGTTGCCTGTTGTTAAAACGCCAAATGGTAGATTTCCTCTGACGCAATAAATCAATTTGTGACCCTTGAGTGATTTTTGATAAGCACACTTCCAAACCCGTCGCAGATTGATTTATGAGGTTTCGAGACCAGAGTAGACAGCTGGACCGTATAAAAGCAAAATGAAGAATGCATTTTCACAATTGATTGATTTATGACCCTCCTAGATCAAAATAATGGAGTAAAATGGATGCCCAAAAAGTGCAAACTACTAAATTTAGGTCCACCTGGAGTGATTTACGGATTGGTTCATGATACTTCAAGATCCAAGGGTGCATTGCCCTTCGTCAGGGGTGAAAGACCTGAACAGCACAGAGCTCAAAGAAAAGGCGACATCCTTCCTGATTAAAGCAAGTCTCTCTTCAGCGGCTTTTATTGCCCACCTGGGCAACATTTCTCCGAATTTTTTCACTCACCGTAATCCCGAGGCTGAAAGAGTGCGTCAAAACAAGCGTGCGCCTTATCAGTTGTGACATCTGACATGGGAGCAGACTGCCGGCTTTGGCTCGAGGATCCTTGAGCGGGATTTCACGTGCACGCACGCTTAACAAGGCCGACACATGTCGCTCGACCTCGATGAGTTCCAACATAAAGCAAAACGGGGCAAGCGATGAAAGGAAAAGTCATGGGGAGGAGTCCGGGCCAGGGGGCACCGTGGCGGCTCAAACCATGGTGCTCTTCTTCTCCCGGAAGTCTGCCTGCGAGGGCTCATGGTAGGTGGCGATCATGTTGGCGGTGTCCCAGCGCGCCACCGGCGCCGGCGAGCTCTGCATGACCACCAGGCGGATGGGCGACTGGGTGGGCTGCGGGTCAGGCGCGTACTCCTTGGTGGGGTCCTTGCCGCGGCAGTCGTACATGATGCAGGAGATGAGGAAGACGAGGAGCAGGATGACGTAGCTGGCGATCAGGATGCACAAGTTGAGAGTGACGGGGTCGATCTCCTGGTAGTTTTCCAGAAAGCCCATGACGTCCGCCGCATGCTGCTTCGACCGCCGCGCGCCTGCTGGGAAGCTCAACCACGGAAGATGGTGGCGGCGGCTGCCATCGTGCCGCCGGAGCCGTCCGGCCGCCTCTTATCTTCTGCCCTACCTTATTTTAGCGACATCAAGACTTTGATGGACGCCACTCCTCCCGAGCCCTGATCGTTGGCTTGCTTTAACAAGTTAAGCCGCAACTCCGTGACAGATTCTCGCTTATATCATCCCCTGGCCTGCCTGCGTGTGTGTATGCGCGGTGTAATCTTAATCTCGATTGTGAGCGGGGATTGGCGGCCGTCGCCATCTGGCGAAATTCCGGGTCAGGGTGTTGGAAAAGAGCTCAGGTTAGCATGCTAGCAAGTAAGGAAAGCCGTTAGAGCCTTCAGTCCTTCATAACTATCTTAAGGTCCATGTACTAGTACACTCTATCCTGTACTCACTTTTAAATCAGTGCATGAGTAGAATGACGACTAGTAACCGTTTGTGTTCTTCTGGTTTCTGCACACTAGTGGAACAACTTTGGCGTACGAGTAGGACACAACAAGATACGAGTGTGGAATAACGGCAGTCGTTGACATCCGGGCGCGATTGTTTATACGACTGAAGTGCTAGATGAATTTTATGTGACTAGTAGCACACTTTTTCAACTACTACTTCCACTTTTGACCTACTAGTGTCAGGTTCTAAATTTAACCGAATAATGTTTTGGATTCCAGAAATGCAGGCTCAGACAAAGTGCTTTAACAAAAATATTTATTACAGAAAAGCGTAATGACAAAGTGCAAGCTGAAATCGCTGGTCACAAGGAGCCAGGAAATCAATAATGCATCAAACAAAAAAACAAAGGAAAGGTTCAAGAGAACACAGAGAACACGCAAACGAAATATCACGAGTCCAATAACGTGAAACCAAAGCCCAAGATCGATTGAAAATACAACAAGGATATTGAAAAAGAAATGCTCACAAGGCTTTGGAACAACGAGTTAGTTTTTCTTCCAGGAAGCCACGTCATGGGACGTAAACTGCAAATGTTCATGTTCATTGAAGTTGACTTGCGGCTAATTGCGGCCTGTGGGCTGCAGGGGGCAGCATTTAGTAACAGCAAATTCGTGACGCAGTGCAGTCAGGGAACGATGACCCCTCCTCTTCCTGTTCTTCCTCCTCCACTTCCCCTCCTTTTCCTTCCCTTTTTTCCTCCCTTTTCCTCTTCATCTTTCCCTTTTCTTCTCATCTCATTTCTTCTCCTGTTCCTCCTCCTCCTCATCATCATCATCATCATCATCATCCTCCTTCTTCTCTTCCTTCTCCTCCTCTTCCTCCTGCTGCCCTCCCAGCCACATCTGGGACACAAACAAAACCCTAATGATGTTCATGAAAGGAAATCCTGATGGCGTTTTCATCTTGGGGAGCACCACCCAAGTAGGCGTCCATCTTCCTGAGACCTTTCATGAGATCTGACATGTGCCGCTGGTGTGTGCCAAATTGCCACTATTGTGTGATGACAATTTGGTGTCCCGAATCAAGTGTCCAGCCAGCGTGTCTCGTCACCGTCATCGCGTTTTTCCCCTTCCTGGCGAGCTCCAAACTTTGCGTTTCAGCATCTGTCCTCATCCTTGCCTGTCTTCATCTTTCTCTCTCTCTTAAGGGGGGGGGGCACTTGGCTCCGAGGGGACCTCTGGACAGTACAGGCTGATAATTTTCAAGATTTTCAAGCATGTGCCATTTACTAACTGTTCAGCTACTTACGAATTTTAATATGAATTTTGTGTTCTAAGCTTCTTGCTCTCCACCCTCATGTGGTGAAACTTGTGTGAAAAGTCTATTGTAACCCCTAAGCACTTCTTCTACTCTTTTCGTGACTCACATTTCACTTGAGCAATTAGCTTTTCCATCTTCTCACGCTGAGTGACCCCTCGCTCGCCTTTAGCGATAGCGCTACTTGTTAGAAGTGTCGCACATTCGCCGCCACGGAGGCAAGGATTCATAGAGGAGTGGAGTTTCCGTCACTTCATTATAGCCTCATCAAAGACACGATTGTACATTTGTCACCAAATCCTGCGGACGTCAAAGACAGCCAGCCGCTCCGTTTGCTCCTGAATCAACGGGACGTCAGTCACATTTGTCTGTTACTTAATCATAGTGACATCAAAGACACAAAGGCCTGTTTGCTGCTAACGCGGCAGCCAGCACGACATTGAACTCACTGTCGGCTTCTATAGAAGCTAGCGTGAGATGTAGTGTGTGTGTGCGTGTGTGTGTGTGTGTGTGTGTGTGTGTGTGTGTGTGTGTGTGTGTGTGTGTGTGTGCGTGTGTGTGTATGTGAGTCTTTGAGTAAGGCATTCCCTGATTGGCGGTGACCATCGACCAGCGGGGAGTTGTCAAAGCGATGCCTGGCCATTGTGCGCCGCACGTCATCGCGACCGCCCGTGCAGGAATGTTTGCAGCTGACGGATGCCAAAGAATCCCGAGCCCAGCTCGTCAACGACCACCCCCTGCCGTGAACACCCCCCATGCCTCCCCCACAAAGTGAGTGGCAGGTGGTGGGGGGGGTCTGCGGGTTTAAGTGAATGAAAATGTGTTTGGAGGTGAAAAGTGAACTTGTTACGCAATGCCAGATGTCGTAAGAAGACTCACAGGAGGTCCACTCGGTTTGTTTGCGCCCTTCGCTCACTCACCACCCCAACATCCCCCAGCCCTTGCAACTCCCCCCACACACCTCACAGCTTGTTTTATTAGTGCAAAGGCTGAGGTCGTGTTTCTCCAGCCAACTTTTGGACGTTATTTTTTTTAAATCATTTTTCAAAGTGCAGTTGACGATGTTGCCCAGGATTCCCTGACAAAAAAGAAACTTGTGAAAATGTCATATGCATGCCACATTACTACAGTTGGCGATGTCACTTTCAAATGTGAGGATTTGTTTTGCCTCCAAAAATATTGAATTTTTCTCACGGTAACCCTAAAACTGTCAAGCCCGACGACTCTGACCGTAACGGTGAGGGTCAGAGTCTAACCGTCTTCGGGCAGTAGGCCGTGGACACCCTGAACTGGTTCCCAGCCAATCGCAGGGCACACATAGACAAGCAACCTTTCACGCTCACACTCACACCAAGGGACCATTTGGTGTGTTCAAAATTAACGCTTATTTTACCCCCCACCCCTGCAACCTAATCCTAAACCACAAATATCTCTTGCATTGTAACCCCCCAAATCTCAAATTATAATCCTGAAATTTGGAACCCTCATCCCAGCCCCCGAAGGAGATC